AGCAGTGTCATTAAGTAATGGGAATGAAGATGTCGCTCTTTATTGATCTTTGGATATAGATTTGCCAGTCACTTTATTTGATCTGAGATCCTCTGACAGCAGTGTCATTAAGTAATGGGAATGAAGATGTCGCTCTTTATTGAACTTTGGATATAGATTTGCCAGTCACTGTATTTGATATGAGATCCTCTGACAGCAGTGTCATTAAGTAATGGAAATGAAGATGTCGCTCTTTATTGGTCTTTGGATATAGATTTGCCAGTCACTTTATCAGATCCTCTGACAGCTACCAGTGACATCAAGAAATAGGAAAAGAAATATTGGTCTTAGCTTCCCTCTAGATACAGATTATCCAGTGATTTCTTTAAATCCTCCAACAGCAATAACTATTCAGTTACTCTTTCTGCCTCCTCTCCAGAATTTATTGCTCACAGTGGTCTTGGTAATTCAGGGACATTTYCCCCCCATTTTTAAATTTCTTCTCGTAAAGCCAACAAATAGGTTTTTTTCTTGTACAGTATTGCTTTTATCTATGTCCCAGATTCACAAGGAAAAGTGAATTATGCTCTTTCTTATTTTGTATATTGTAACTACTGACTTGTTAACTGTACATGTAAATCCCGATGCAGATATAGATATTTTCATATACCACCCCCTTGCCTCAGTCTTTCTGTAGTAATCGAGGATTGTCACATGTTGTCCTCATAGGTTTTTGACAGAGTGAGAGCGAGTGGGAAATTTAAAAAAAGGTAAAGCACCTATATTTAATGCCAGTAGTTCCTTCAGTTGAAATTCAACTGCTACAATAGAGAGCTGAAGAAACCAGGGATTCCCTGTAACACATTCAAAGCCTTTGAGTCTTAGCTACATCAGAGCTATAGTACCTAAACAGGATTAAGGTATGCCTACAATCCTTCACAGTTTATACTGTAACAGCTTTGTGAAAAAATAAAGAAATATCTGAAACATACTTCATCAGAAAGAAAGATATAAATGTGGAAAAGCAGCAGAATTGATTATTGCTGCATCATAAGCATTGTTACAGGTGAACTTCAAAGTTGACAAAATCCAAATATTATCCACAGTACTAAGTTAAGTCATTTTTCTTTGTTCTGCCTTTTGATCGTAAATTACAAATTTAAACATTATTTAAAGGGGTTTATAGACTTTAACAAAATTGTTATATTTTATTTTGTTCTTGTTTAGTAAAATCAATAGTGCTTAAATCTAATAATTGCATGCCATTTTAGAGCATTACTCATACTATTAATAAAACATTTTTTTACTTTTGATATGCTCTTTTTCAATCATTTTTATAAACAGTTATCATTCCTATACTACGATTGTCGTAATTATGACTGTTGAATAGGCCACTTGCATTAAAGCAACTTTACTACCACTACCAGAATCCCTTGCAAGCTTTTTTGTTTAATCATTATTACTGTCAACTGTCTGGTTTTCCCCAAAATTAGTAAAAAATAAAAAGTAAGAAAATCTGTCACTCATTCTGGTAGTAGTAGTAGTAAAGAGGTTTCATAAAACAAATGGCCTGTTACAGTGTGACTACTACAACTGGGGCCACCAAGACAGCAAGCCAATTAAAATGTAGAATGAAGACAATGCACTGGCTCCACTACCTGAAGTTTAATGTATTTGTTTTCATTTTCATTGTCATTTACTTGGTTCTCTCGTCTAGGTGGCCCCAGTCGCACTGTGAATTATTTTAATATATTAGGCTGTTATCCATGGTTTATGATATATATGATTGGATATACATGGTGCCAAATTTCCTATTACGCCTTCTATCCCATTATCATTTACCTGTATCCTGTGTTGACTGAATCTAGAAGTACACCAGAGGTAAGTATTTCACTGTAGACAGGTGTTAATATATAAGAGTTCAACATGTGACCAATAACTATGTAAAATAACAATCATAGGAGGATAGAAAGTTCAGACTAAGACTCCAAATTTACAGTAGTCAATGTTAGAAGCATGAACTGGCAGTGTAGGTAGAGAGTGTTGTGTGCAGTGAGACAGGTGTCAAGGTGCAAAATAAAAGAGCTAATTATCACATGTATTGTTTGCAAGTTGGTGAATCAATCCTTAAAATAATTGATGGTCAATCACAGATTAACATGGCATGTTTCTGGATCAGCATTAAGTCAAAACGAGTGGACAATTTCCAATTCTGGCCAGATACATACATTGACCTATGATAATATTTCAAGCCTTGTGGGACGTAAACTGTTGGTAGACTGTTCAGTAGTGTGTTGATAGGGTATTGGTAGAATGTTAGTTTGGCAAATATAACTTTGAAGTCTTAGTCTATACCTTTACAGTGTACATATACACTACCATATTAAAAGAAAGCATGTTGCATCATCAGCAGTCGATGGTCCGTGCTAAGACATTTTGGATATTACTGCAACCTCTCATAGCTACATATTGCAGCATGGGACTGATACACAGGGGCTCCTATTGATAACAGATGTTTCCTATACTCTAAATTTTTAAAAACGGTTTCTACATTGATCTACACCTGTATCTAATATGTACTGACAACAGAGAGTGTTTACATGATAATTTGCTATCATATTCCTTAGAGGCCCAGGGGAATGAATACTGTTATGCAAACCATTTTTGAATGGTGCTGACACTGTGATGCATTCTTAGTGATAGTATCAAAAAGGCAAATTAGATTGTCATGATTTAGGATACTTGTACCACAATTACTACCAAAAGGAAACTATTACTAAACAGATCAAGTCAATGCAGACAATTATCTGACAGCAAATTTCATCATACACATTTAAGGATCCCTAATGCAAAGTAATGGGTCATATTTTATCATTAATGGTATATTTATAAAAAAGAGCAAAATTCTTCCTCGTATTCTGTCAGAAGCCCTGGTTATAATAATTATTTTCGTAATCTTGTAAAGTAGTCAAAACTRCATCATATATTCGTCAAATTTCAAGGCTGTAAAGCATTTCTTGCTTTATTATAGGTGATTAAACATGACACAACTGTGCCAAAATTAATTAATCTACAGTATATTTCTTTGGCTTCTTATAGGCTAACTGTACAGAAATAGTAGTATTCACATTCTATGATCCATATGATCAATAAACATTACAAATATAGTTCTGATTGGAAGAAATGAATCTATATCTCCTGTGAAAATGTCCTAGGTGCCTAAGTTTTATAATAAACTTTTATAATATATGTAACAAAATCAAAAAAGTGTACCATTTTTTGTAGTATTATGACCTGAAGCTTTGYATTCTTACCATGAGTACTGTAACAGTAGGTGCTCTTTTCCAGTGTTAGTTTTGACATAACTGCTCATATTAAGGGGGTACTGTAGTGTCACATGATCTGTTAGTGCAAATGTCTTTATACGATTTTTAAGGAGTAGAAAAGTTTTTTTTTCATGGACGTTCCTCTCTTGCAAAGGCATTGGAATGGTCTTTGAAAAATAACCAATTCCGATTCAATTATGATAACCAAATCAATTATTGATTTCAATCTCTAACTTACTATTACTACTATTTTATACTTATGTCATTTTTACTTACCCCTTTGTAGATTAAAGTTGGATAATCATAACTGATTTTCTATACTCTAAAACTCACCTCTAATTCCATGATAGAAATCTCACAAGCCAGCATATTTCATAGCCTTAAAAATTTGACCCAAGTCTTATTGCATCAAAATTTTCTCACCATGCATTTCACACACACACACTGAAGGCCACTTTGTTTACCTCACTGGAGTCATATCAATAATTTTGGCATAAAATATTTCAATTTTTAAGCTTTCCTCATTACCACAAAGGGATGCAATTTTTGGGTTGCAATATTTTCTCCTACAGATTTTCTCTCCTGTTCAAGTTACTATGAATGAAATAGAATTCATGGTTCCAACCCCCTTATAGTAGGTAACTGTCATCGCTACATACACGTACAGTACTGTATGTCCAAAATGTTCAAACATTTTGCTAGAACATCTCAGACTTGAAAACTTTGATTGTACATTACGATTATCGCTTGTTGAAGGTTTAGCAAATATGCAATCTGTGTAGCATCCTTGAGTAGGATATTTTGATTTTAATTTTGCTAGGAAAACAAATGCATTGCTTAATAATTGTTGGAGTTGGAACCATGAATCACACATAAATATTATGCCACAAATATATAATTTTTATACAAGAGCTTTGTCTTGGAAAGCAAAGAAATTTGTGTATTCTTTGGGTGACATAGAAATAATTTGTACGACTTAAAACCAGTTCAATTTTACAACAGCTTGCCAAGTTGTGGATACAGTAGCTCTCATACATGAAAGTAGATAATTCATACTGCAACAAAAAATAACTCATATGACCTTTATCAGTCCATGGATTTTGTCCTGTTCCCTCTTGAGATTAAACACTTGCTGAAGCATGCCAGCAGTTACCAAAGCACAGTACCAACAATGAAGTATGCCACTGCAACAATATAAAAAAAGAAAAGATGAAAAATCCTGCATTATTTTTATAACAGATTTTTTCTTAAATGCAGACCAACTTTAGGAAGGTAAATAACTTATTTATTTTTTCCCATTTACTTTTGCACTTATAATTTTACTAGTTACCTAGAAATAAAATAATTTGGATAGGTTCTTACCATTTAAACAGCCATGATTTGCTCACATTTTCACACTTTTACCAGTCYGCCATGTTGTTCTTGAACATCTGATGACCGTAAGGCATGATGGGTTCACGTGCACTGGAAAGACTGGAAGGGGAATTGAAGGAAAGCTGTATTTGACTAATTTGAAAATGTAATGATAAAATGGTAAATTATTTGCTCTTTTACTCCGACGAAGGGCTAGCGTCTGAAACGTAAGTAACGTCAGTCTGAAATGTCAGTTTTTTCATCTTTTCACAGYGTATAATTTACCCCTTTATCATTACTGTTTCATTAGAAACAATGACGCAGCTCACACTAGCTTTTAGCTAGTTATCTCTTCCTAGTTTGAAAATGGTCTATTGAGGTTTGCGTGGATGTAAAATTTGTCAAGATGTTTATTTCTTTATCAAAAGTATTTCAAAAAGCTTTTTAAATATTTTCCATCATATTCAAACAAAAAATAATCCATCCCTACTTAGCTGTTTCACGAGGAGGGGAGGGGAAGGGATTTACCAGGAGGGGAGGGGAGAGTTGGTGACAAGAGCGTTGAGGAAATCTTTTATTCGTCAGAAACAATTGGAATGGCAAAATAAGTTTCTTTCTATAGTAATGATAATTTATAATAACATAAAAGGGCAAAATAGCTCAGTTCAGGTGGATAAAATATCGAAAAAGTTTTTAACAAGTGAACTGGCGTTGAGCATTGCACAAAACAAGTTCCTCAAATGGACAAAAAAWACCCGAAAACTCAAAACTTATCTCATTAACGGAAAGAAATCAATATAATTTTACTAGTTACCTAGAAAATAACTACTTTGGATAGGTTCTTACCATTTAAAAAGCCATGTTTTGCTCACATTTTCACACCTTTACCAGYCCGCCATGTTGTTCTTGAACATCTGATGGCCGTAAGGCATGATGGGTGCACGTGCACTGGAAGGACTGCAAGGGGAATGGAAGGACTGCAAGGGGAATGGAAGGACTGCAAGGGGAATGGAAGGANTGGAAGGACTGCAAGGGGAATGGAAGGACTGCAAGGGGAATGGAAGGACTGCAAGGGGAATGGAAGGAAAGCGGATTTTGGAGTGCATACCATATATCCGTGAAAAACCTTGTAGGAAATTGCACAGATTTGCACAATTATTAAGTTCACTAGAGAACAGTAGACCATAGACCTACAAGATTTTGCACTTTAATCTGTACGATTATGTTTATAGTTTGTTTTCACGGATATATGGCACAATGTATACAAAGTTTTTCCATTTAGTTTGAGATAAATATTATATGGAATTTAACTTTATTTATTTTTATTTTTACGAAAGCTTTTTCTCGTTGACTTAATAGAAGGTCATGAATTAATCCCTTACATAATGAAAGGACTACAATCATTTWAAAAAAATTTTCCGATTCCCCTTCCCTTCTCTTCCCACAATAGAAAGCGTGCCTTCCACTTTTACCGGAAAACTGAAGTCTAAATTTCAATATTGCCCTTTAAAAATATCCTTCAATGATTATTAGAATATCCATTTGGTTAAGGCCTTGGCTATGAATAATCTTCGTAGTGGCTGTTAATAAAGAATGTTATGGGGATGGAGTACTTATTTGTCATACTTTCGCTCCCATAAACTCGTTTTTTGGAAAGATTATCTCCTGTTAATACTGCCACTTGGGTTAGAGGAGGCATAACTCCTTCTACTGCAAAAGAAGACTGAGGCGCGAAGGCTAGAATAGGATACACTTTAATTCTGAAGTTTAAGTTAAGTTTATTTAAGCGTCTCTTCTTCTTTTTCTACATTTTCTTCTTCATTTTAATTCTTTTTACATTATTTCTTTTCCTTCTGCTTTTCCATTTCTCTCCCTCGTTTCTATATCTCTTAATGCGCTTCTTCTTCATCATTCTAGCATCATCATCACACTTACCTTCACTACTAGTAACACATCATCATCATCATCAATTTCATTCTTAGCGTGTTCATTAACGAATTAGTCTTCATCATCTTCATCTTTTTCTCCGTCAAACACATTTTCGTTTCAAAGCATTCTTATTTTTCATATTCTACTTCTTCCTCATCACCATCATCTTTTATTCTCAGTTCTCCTACTTACTTTAGTTCTACTACTTTCTTTCTTTTTTTCCTCTCTTCATCGTCATCATCATCATCATCTCCATCTTTTTCTACTTCGATATTATCTTTCAGTCGTCGTTGAACCAAGTTAATAGACTATTAACTATGATTATTATTGTTAACTATTAACCTCTCTGATATATTACAATTCTCACCTTGTACAGTTGTGACTCGTATGCTATTCAAATTTCGTTAGTCTACAACTTGATGGTCTTTTCACTTTTTTGGCCTTGGATTAGAGAATGCAACCATTTTAACATCTCTTCTCTTCTTCTACCCTTGCGCTGAAAAACATTTATTTCGAGAATTAAATTTTAACTATCCGGCTAAGAAATTATATCTTCGATAATTGAAAAAAATGATTTATAGMTTGTTTTGTTCTCATTCTTCAACACTTCGAGTCATTGAACTCATCAAAAAGTCATTAAAAAATTACCGAACGAAGCTCATAACTCTATCACATCATGACCTGGGATGATCACGGTTCCCACCAGTGATTTTTCAAATCTTTCGTAGCGGACTATTTTCGAATATTTTCGTCGAATCACACTGGAAAAGATAGCGTGTTTATATTCATACTTTATTCCCAAAGTCATTTTCCTTTTGACTTTCAATTTAGAGAAGACAGCTGTGAAAATCAATATTCTACAAATCAATTCAACTGGTATATTTTCGGTTCCGGTTGTGATTGGCTGACTGCAAGATTCGTAGAGTTTTAATATTTATTTTGGTTTTTAATGAGAAACTCGCCGTGGCGTCATCATCAGTTTTGATAAGGGCACAATTGTCTTCTAGGCTAGTATATTCGGAGCAATAAGCTTCCAGCCGCGACAACAGTCAACAACATGACTATATTGTGATATTTTTCCGAAAAATTCTAATCCTTCCTGCAGAGTTCATTGAATAACATCTGCAAAGTGAATATAACATCATCTTGATTGTTTTCTGATATTCCACTATTTGTAATTCAAATATTTGTTATCGGGGGAATCGCATGCCCTATAAAAGAGAAGTCATAACTCAAGATTACGATGAAAAAATATGAACCGAAAATAGAAATGGCGTGATTTTTGAAGTTCGCTGAAGGTGGTCCGAGTATGGTATATGCACCAAATTCATCGCTTGACGGAGATGATGGAAACGAAGGCAGAATCGTAGATATAGTAGAAGGAGTTTTTATAGTAGTTCTTGCAGTTATTGCTATTATTGGGAATGGCTTGATAATCTACGTGATTTATCGCAATCGAACTTTGCACGTTTTGAGAAACTTGTTCATCGCTAGTCTCTCTCTTTCCGATTTCTGTATGGGTTGTACTGACGTTCTCTATCAAGGGATTGGAAAACTCGTACCGAATTACAAACCACCACATTTCTCGTTTTGTTACTTTGTCCTTTTTTGTGGAGTATTGTTTGGATCTGCTTCGGTTTTTAACTTAACAGCAATGACGATCAACCGTTATATTGCTATCAGCTATCCACTTCACTATAGCCAATATGTAACTTCGAGAAGGTCGGCTATGATTTTGTTGCTTCTGTGGCTTGCAGCGTGTTGCCTTGCACTTCCGCCTTTGTTGTGGCGGCCAGTGGATGTAGTATGCTATAGCACGACTCCTTCAGAAGAACACTTGGTCAATGAAATTGCCTATATGGCRGCTGAATGGATATTCTGGTTTGTCATCCCCGCCTTGATCATTTTGGTTGCTTACTGTCGAATCTATCGCATTGCGAAGAATCAAGCGCGGCAGATCGCAGCTATGGAAATGTCCCAACAATGCGCCGTGGATGAAAACCCTACCAACCAGCTACCTGGTGCCGCAAAAACAATGAATCCTAAACTGAGAATTTCAACTTACAAAGAGAAAAAAGCCGGAAGAATGGTGACTATTTTGATCGGGTTTTGGTTGTTCTGCTGGCTTCCTTTCTTCACAGTTTTGACAATTCACAAGTTTTTACTTTCCGAAGGAGTTCCTCCAATACTCATGAGAATATTCCTTGGTTTAATGTTTATGAATTCGGCTGGAAACCCGCTTCTTCTCACCATGTATAACAAAGAGATGAAAGTTGCGCTCCATCGGTTGTTTTCCCAACGAGCTTCTCGAGGCCGGAATTCGATTCCAAGCAATGAAGTTGAACTAACAAGCGTCCGACGAGTGACTCATCCCCATGTAACTACTAGCTAGTAAGACCATCATAGAGCTAGTCCTACAAATCACTTTACGAACCATYATGTACACCGATTTTAAGTAATTGCTTCAATTTTTATTATATTCGCTGTCGATGAGTGATTTCTTTAGCGCAAATTTGAGGGATTTAACATTTTTAAAAAATTATTTCTATTTTTATTACACAGAATTTTATCGATAAACTTTACTTAACAGGAGATGAACTTCTTATGAGTTATCATTAAGTGAACGCAGAAATTAATCAAAATGTTGGGCCGCATTGAATCTTATTGTTGCTAAGTCATAGTTCTTGGCAAGTGCGTTGGGAGCAAGGCAAGAAATCCATATTAGCTAGCCATTCCGAGGTTGAGAAAAAAACTAGGTCGAGTTGCACTGCAACGCATTTTGGGGCTGTTTAGGGAAGAAATAGATGCCATCTTGGAAATATATCCCCTAAGACAGACCCAAAAATACATTTGAATGCCAACCCCAGTCGACCCATTTTTAGTTTCAATTTCGGAATAGGTGATGATCCCATTCGTAGATCCTTAGAACGTTTAGTGACCCTAGATTTTCTCTTATCTCTTTCCCGTTTATCGGCTTTGGCTTGATCAAAAGCAYGCATACTTCACTATTTTCATTATTTGCATAGGTGAAAACAAACTGCATGTATAGAAATCAGAGGAAATGAACTGTACTGAATATTCCTTAAACACGCCACAATGGGAGTTTTGAAATTTTTAAAATTAGATTACTGAGACTTTATATTAAAAAAAGATCTGCAACTTTATCGAGTTGAGTACATTGCTTTAGGCCATGAATGTTTCTATTGCAATTGATGGGCTTCCTCATTAAAGCACCAACAGCGCTTAGTTGGTTTCTATCAAATCAGTTCACAAATCACATCTCATGGGATGTACCTATTGAATTTACATGGGTTTTATCAAGCGAGTTTCTGATACATTTTAATCTAATGCATATCCGAATTTACTTTGGATTACACGCATGGCGCACTACAGCAAAAGCAGTTTATATAGGTTGCTATTGCTGCACAATATATAAGTGCAGCTTATAGGTTTCCACCCCCGCATCAAGTGCAGTTTATGTTGCTATTGCTTCCCAATATATGAGTGCAGTTTATAGGTTTCCAACCCCGCATCAAGTGCAGTTTATAAGGTTGCTATTGCTTCACAATATATGAGTGCAGTTTATAGGTTTCCACCCCCGCATCAAGTGCAGTTTATAGGTTGTTATTGCTTCACAATATATGAGTGCAGTTTATAGGTTTCCATCCCCGCATCAAGTGCAGTTTATAAGGTTGCTATTGCTACACTATATATGAGTACAGTTTATAGGTTTCCATCACTGCTTTAAAGTGGCTGACTACTTTGGTAAATAATAAACAGAAAATTGAAACTTCCTTTACCTGAAATTTAATGCTGATTTCGAAAATGCAAAGAAAAATAGGGTGTCCCGAGCTTGTTTTTGAGATAATCCGCAATGACATGCGTTTGTACAATTTTCGAAGAAAAATAGCGAAAATCAAGCTCTGTACAAAAAAAAAAAAAAAAAAAAAAAAAAAAAAAAAAAAAAAAAAATCATGGAAACTAAGAAACCGAAACTAAGGAAGAAACATGAGTAATTTTCTCACAACTCACAACTCACACTATATTTATAAAATAGGGGTAAAAGTTGTTTTAATAAAGCATTGTCAACAATGGAAAAACCTTTCTTTATTCAGGTTCTACGGGTAGCAAGTTATCGTAAAAATTGAGCACAAAACAAACGGAACGATTTTTTACATTGTTCTAATAAACAGAATTGTATTCTGTTATTCCAGAAAATAACAAAAAAGTATAGATTCCCGTGCAAAATTTGAGGGTTTTGCCCTCTTGAAGTTCAAAACGTGTGGTTCTTCAATAAAATCGTGARAATTAATCAGCGGTTTTTTGAGCGCACGCACATCGTGGTCTCAAAGCGAACGTTCAAAAGTAGTCAGCCACCTTAAGAGCAGGTAATGGATTTTCCACACACAGTTTATAGGTTTCTTTCACCGTATCAAGCATTCGTGGTTTCTGTATAACTGCATATCCATAGTACAGTTTACATGTTTCTTCTCACAGCAGTTTAAAGGTTTATTGGTAAATGAATTAATAAGCGGAGATAATCATTTTATCGACTGTAGTTTAAGTCCTTTCTAAGCAAAAAGTTATGTTTTATCTTAATTAACTAAGAAAAATATTCACAGATAACAGAAATAAGGCGGAGGATCCCCTTGCAAGACGTAGGTTACACCGCTGTTACTTACCTTAATTAAATTACCGAACTTGCTTTATTTTCATTTCCAACTGTTTTATTTTTTCATCAATCCATTCTCCTAGCCTTCAAACGTTGATTTTTTTCCCCTTAACTTTATTCAAATAGCAATATAAAATTGAAAAACTTGAATTTACAATATAGATAAAGATTACAAAAAAAATTGAAATTATAAAAGATAAATTGAGAACACTAAAATATTGCTAAAGGGCGGCATCCTATTTACTTATAGCATAAGGTAAAAAAAAAAAACTATCTTTAAAACGTTGGGTCTTACATTTAAAAAGGCTAAATGTTCTTGGATTTCTTAAAGAATAACTATGTACATTTCGTTATAAGTTTTGTTAATGAACTGTTACTGACCAATGCTGACTTATAGAATTTATAACACAGAAAGTCACGTCTGTCTAGTAGTAAAGGTAATCTTAAGTTGTTTAATCGTTCATCATAACTTAGTCCAGGTAGAATCATCTTTGTATCTCTTCGTTGGATTTGTTCAACGCGATCTTGTAGATAGGATGGTAATGAAGAGTGCGACACTGAACAAGCATATTCAAGGATGGATCATATGAAGCAACAAATGTTAATTCTGAAGTCTTATTCCCATTATTGAAATTCCTCCATTCATCCATTAAATTTTCACATGCTATATTTCCCAAGATTTTCATATTCATTCTCATTCCAATATTTCGTTGTATTTCCTTTTTAAATATTCACTATTACCGCCCCGTCGTTCTCATCTATTATTTTATTTTTCATTCTTTCTTTCACATCAGGTTATCCGCACAGTAAGGTTTTGAAGTTTTCTTCCCTGGAGCGTGCAACAATAAACTTCTCGATAAATAGTCTAATGAGCAAGAGGTACATTTTAACTGAACAGCGTAAACATCACGATATCGTAACTCAATATTTTCTTCGAAACCCCTCTCATTCTGCAGCTAAAACACTGTTATTAATATCAAATATTTCAAATATTTTCTAGTAGAATTTTTTTCACATAAAAATGACTGTAAAAAGCCGCGAAAAAGAAAAAAAAAAACACAAAATTCTTTTTAGAAACAAATATCAGCGAAGCATCGTGTAAATATAAATCACAAACCACTCTTTTGAAGAAATTTACTTTTTTAAGAATTAAGTAAATAGTTGCAGTAAAACTGAGAAATGTGTATTTTGCGACATGCAGTAAAAAAATGAATGATCAAATCGAGAATAAGTTTAAAGGTTGATTTTCAGTTTGAAGTTGAGAATATAACTATACTCTCGAAAGTTTTCAAATGTTCTTTAAGATTGTCTGCCTTATAGTTATCTTAGCACTTATCATTTTCCTTAACATTCTTATTATRTCATAAAATTATTAAATGCTAAATAAAGATCACTTAAAGACGTGTTGATGKCAGATTAGACTTGTTTTGATGGGTGATAAATGCATACTCAAAAGCCTACTCACGCTATCGTTTTGTTGTTTTTTTTGTGTTTTTTTTTTAATCCATTTATTTATTTCATCTTTCTCTTTCCTCCTTTTTCTTTTTCCTCTTCTTTTTCTTCCTTCCACTTCTTATCATAGAAACAAGAGAAGGTTTTTAAGGGACTAGTGAAAAGCTATTTGCTTATTAGAGGCTTTGCATCATCACGTGCCGGCGCCCATAGTAGAGAGTTTTAGGTTGACTTATTTTTCTCCCCGTAAACGACAAACGTGACCACGTTTTCATAGTTTTCCTTTATTTTACTTTACCTTTTACAAACCTTCTCACCAAGCGCAAATACTCTTTTGTTTTTCTACTACTTGGACTTTTTTGCGATGCTTTTTCAGTAATTTGAAATAATTTTTTACTGGTCAACTGACGTTTCACGTTTGCCGTAAACGTAAATCTAAAACTCTCTAGCACATCTGGGACTGCCTGTGGTTAGATGGCAGAACGAAAGAATCCCTTTTGCTTTCGGGAATTGAATTCTTTCTCATGTAAAACGATTGCATTGTTCCTATCATCTAACATGGTTGCCGTCATGTGATAGTACAGAGCCTCTATAGTTTTTCGTTTGCGTTGGAGAGGTAGGATATGATGAATTTAATTGGGATTAAGGATTTCCCCAGGATGAATAGGGAAATAATATCCCAATCATAGGATTTCCTCAAGGTTCATCAACGGGACCTTTGGTAAAATTTCGGCTAAGAAATATCATGGAGTCCTTGCAAATCAGTTTGAACAGAACAAACATTAGAAGAACAAACCCTGTTACTCTGTCGATCATTCAGAGTAATAACAAAAACAAAGAGAAATAGAATTGGGAGTTCCTTGACGTTTTTTTGCCACCCAAGAGACCACAATCCTATGAAACAAAATAAGTTGCCACCCTTTTTACACTATATAGCTATAACTATTGGTTACTAAATATGTTGCCGCCCGTTTTTACACTATAAAGCTATAACTGTTGGTTATTGAATTTGTCAAACATTTGGTGTCCTGAGAAATGGAGAGCGAGTTCTCTGCCTGTGGGATCCCATTGCTAGGGTCTTCCATGTAGATTTGGTTTTTCAAACGCGGGTTTGGAGAAAGGGGAAGAGGGAAGAAGGAAGGAAGGGAGAGAGGCCTGGAAGGAAGGAGAGGGAGCAAGAGGAAGGAAGAGTGCGAGGGAGGAAGGGTTAGTGGGAGAAAAGGGGAGTGAGAGTAAGGGAGAGAGTCCCGGGAGGAAGGAGAGGGAGCAAGGGCTAGGGAGAGAGGAAGAAACCTGAAATGACCATAAGATTATTTGTTTGAGTTGGATGCAAATTTAAAATGTTACCGTAAAACAAAGGAACATTTCTCAAGGGTGTGGTATGTGGCCGAAAAGAAAACTCTAATATTTTGCTCGTCAAGTCCAGCGTTCACTACTATTATCATCAGTTTAGGCGGGAAAACAGACGCGCTTTCCCAAACGTGTTCACACTTTGGTCAACCCTCTGACGCATGCGCAGACGTTTCTTCATGGTGTACATCTGTGGCTTGTCTACATAACAAACGAACAAACAACCCCAGAAAGTTTCATTAATTAAATCCAACAGTAGGAATTTCATGTCAATATTAATTTTCTTTAGTAGTAACGATGATTATTTCTAAAGTGTAATGAT